GGGGTTTAAGGAGTGTGGTGTTAAGAGGGGGCGGAGATATTTATATATTTTTTTGATGTTTATTTCTTATTATTTTTTATTATTATTTATTGTTTGGCTTAATGTTTTGTATGTATCGTTGTTATTTTCATTATTATTGTTATTATAATATTATTATTATATTATTATTATTATTATGTTATTATTATTATTATCATTATCATTTTGTTCTTATGATTATTATTAGAGGGCGAAGTATGTGAGTTTATTTATTTTTGTTAATGATTATTATTATTCAGTATTTTTACTGCTATTATTATTTATTATTGTTATCATTTATTGTTATTCTTTTCTTTTGCGAGGGGGCATATTCGAAGGATTTTTATGAGCGTGCTTTCAGCAAAGCGAAGTGAGCTGATGGAGTTGGAAACTAATGTTAAGAAGGCGGAGATGAGGTTATTTTTATTATTATTTTATTTTTTATTGTTTTTATTGTTATCATTAATTATTGTCATTACTATTATTATTACTGTGATTATTATTATTATTATTAATTATCTTTTGTTTGTTATTGTTATTAAAGTTTATTGTATCATTTGTTATTGTATATGTAAAAATAATAAATAATGCAGACTGAAGCAACTCGAACCGAAATTAATAGCAAAGAAGAAAGAGCTGAAAGGGATAGCGGGGCAGTCTGAGAACGATTTGAGGGATAAGAAGAAATTGGAGGAGCAGATTGGGAGTTTGGAGGTTTGGTTTGTTATTATTATTTGGTATTAGGGGTTTTGTTGTTATTATTATTATTATTATTATTATTATTATTATTATTATTAGTTATATGTTAATGCTGTTTATTGTTGTAGTTATATTTTTGTTATTTATTATTATTATTATTATTAGTATATAATTTCAGTCCGAACTGAAGCGTTTGAATTTCAACGATAAAGAAGAGGCGCAGATTATGGAGGAGTTGCCGAAATTGCGTGCTGAACGTGAGGAAATTGCTGATGTAGTGGACAGTTTTGAGGCGAGGTGGGGATTGGTTTAGTATTATTATTATTATTTTATAAGTTATTATTTAATTGTTATGTAATTATTATTATTATTTATTATTATTGCATAAGTAATTATTGTTATGTGTAATTATTGTTTGTTTTAATTAGTGTAATAATTCAGATGTCAGAAGCTGAAATTGGTTTATAAAGATCCGAAACCGGGTTTCGATAGAACTCTTGTGAAGGGAGTTGTGGCGAGACTTTTTCACATAAAAGACCTTAGACATGCTGCGGCATTAGAGGTTATCGCTGGTGCGAGTGTGAGTTTTGATTTTTTTATTTTATTTTGAAGAATTTTCATTATTTCTACGAAATTTTGGAAAATTCTGGAATTTTTGTGAGTATTTCGGTGGGATTTTAATGATTTTTAGTTTTGTTTGATTTTGATTTTGATAACTTTGATATTCATTTTATTCTCATTTTTATGGTTTATGGTATTTTTTTAAAGTCATTTTTCCGTTTTATTTGAATCCTTTGACGTTTTCTTACACATTCGTTGTCTTGATTTTGTCTCATCTTTTAGGTGGTGCCTTATTTGATTGATTTGTTGATTGATTGATTGATTGATTTCTATCTCTGCCAGTTTTCCATGCCTCATTTGTTCTCACACTATTTCTTGCTTGCATTTTTGTGGACATTGCAGCGTAGGCATTTATTGAAGGGTGTTGAAAAACTGGGAAAAAAACTTTATCATACATAATGTTATAGCGATGGTATTATTTATTAATACATTTAATTTATGCATATTATAGTGGGCATAAATAGCGTTAATTTAAAATATTTTTAGTGAATGATCTCGAGAAATTGATTTCATTCGATATGTTGATAGCGTTGGCATTTTATTTATTATGGTGTTATTGACGGCGATGTAATTATTATTACTACAGTTAGTGACAGCAGGAATAGTAATAGTAATATTAATTAATTAATAGTGAAGAATATTAATTAGTAAGGAATACTAATATTAATTAATAGTAAGGAATATTAATAGTAGTAAAAAAGTAATATTAGTAATTTAGTGCACATTCAAAAAATATTGAGAAATGTAATCGAAACAAATTCTCTCTGGAAAATCGGAATTTCATCAAAATATAATAATTTTCAACCAAGATTGGTTCAATTGAAAGGGAGTAATATGGAGCTGCATCGTTTCGAAAAGTGTAGTTTGTAGTTTGATTTGATAACGTTGAGGATCAAGTTGAACTTTGGACGTTGTACTTTGGACTAATGATCGCGTGAAATTGATGATTATGTTTTGGTGGTTATTGTTTTGGAAGATGGGTGATGGGCGAACGTGTACGGATTGTTTCAATCGTTTAGAGGATTGTTATCGTTGTCAATGGCACCGTGATATTCATATCGTATTTGTACTTTGGACTTTGGTGTTTGATGTTTAGTGGATGTGTGTGTGCGTGGGCGTTGCGCGAAACATTTGTGAGCATTTATGAGCGCTCAATTTGGAAGTTAAAATTTTGTAGTTTGTAGTTTATAGTTCGTAAATTGTAGTTTATAGTTTATAGTGTGTAGTTCATGTGGTGGCAAGATTAAGAAACGATGCTGCATGTTTGGTGATAGTGTGTTGTTGTTGTTGTGGTTGATGATGTGAATGATGATAGAGCGATGAAGTGTGATGTGAGGACGGATGCAAATAGTGCTCTGGAGTGGAGTTTGTGGACAGAGCAGCTGTAGCAGTAGCAGCGGCTGGAAATAAGAGCGGGTTACTGCCAGCCTCTCGATAGAATATATAC